CAAGCCAGACTGTGTGTATTACACTGGTCTATTAAAATTAATCTGATGCCTTTCTCCCCATCTCATGAATTACTTCATGGRTTACCATCTTGACCAGTGAGACAGTAATAATGATGAATGCATCTGTTTATTTGTAGAACAACTATCAACTGGTTTTTTTTAATGAGGAAGTTAATTGTTGGGTGCCTTGTAAATGAGTTTAATAGAATCTTCCTTTCTGTTTGAAAGCTGGACCAGTGCAGATCCAGCTCTGGGGATGCTGATGTTGCTGCCCTGGCACTTAATGAGCAGTGAATTCAGGACCTGGATTTTATCTCTAATGACATTCCATCTGGGCCATGTCAGGAAGCCTCAAATTTTGCTCAGTATGTAAATTTAAGCTCCCAATTTCTGCAGAAATACAAACTAAAATCCAATCTSTGCATTTAATGACCTCAGTGAGCTTAATATAGTCAGGACTTTATAACCCTGCTGTAAGTTAAAGCATTTTCTGCACCAGCAAAAAATAATCAAATAAGCAGCATGAGTGAATKGATTACTGAATCCACAGCATATTTGACAGCATGGCAGAAGATTTCTGAGTGATTTTTTTTGTTCATTTTACTGGTTACCAGTTCAMTAGATGGGAATTTTTTTGAATGAATATCTCCAAGGGTGATGATTRTGGAAGGTGGTGAAAGCCTCAGATGCAGAGCAGATTTAGGAAAGAGAAAAACATCAAAATAAGGAGAAGAAATGAAACAAAGGATGTGTAGGAGTGCTGGAAGTGGATTTATTATTTTATTGTTGTATCAAGTGTTGTCCATTACACTTGAATAGAATTTAATTTTTGAAATGAAATAGAATTTAATTTCTGGTATCAACTGAATGGCTGTGATTTCACAAGTTTGGCAGCAAATTCTACCTGTGGAGCCTTTACAGCCTCCATTCTGCTCTCTTTAAAATTCACTGCAGGTATGGGCTGCTTTGGTTTATTTTTCTAGCTATCAAAAATGCCTTCAGAAATGGAAAAAAAAAATGCAGGAGTCCCAGTATTTCTTGATAATAAAAGCTTTTCACATAAATGTTCATCTTTCATGGTATTTGTAAAATGCATGGATCAAATTATGTTTATGGTCTCAAAGATACAAATTCATACACATTCTGTTTCTCAATACATTTTACAATTTAAACGTGAGTATTTTATTGTTCTGATGAAAAAATAGAACTCTAGGTAATCACTGGTTTATTTAAGCCAAAGAAACACATTGAATTAATTGCCTTCACCATTTTTTCATTGATTTTTTTTCCATATTAGTGTAGATACCTTTTATAAGAGCAGAGAAAGGGACACTTTCAGAATTATGGAATCTTTAAAGATGGAAAAGACCTCTAAGAACATTTAGTCYAAGCACTAACCCAGAAGTTCCAATCCACTACTAAACTCTGCTCCTGAGAATATTTTCAGTCTTTTTGAACTCCTTGAGGAGCAGTGACTCCACACTTCCCTGAGCAGCCTKTYCCAATGCTTGAATGAATGAAGATATTTTTGAATGAAGATRTTTTTCCTGGTATCCAATCTAAACCTCCCTGAGCTAAACTTTAAAGCCCAGCTCAAGAATGTGTCCTGTTCTCCTGTACCAGGGATAAGGGACTGACTCCATCTCACTCAACCTCCTTTATATTCCTGTGTAAATCACAGAAATGGAAAATGGAGAGGGAAATCACCCAATTCCCAGGCTGCAAATYAACTTCAGGCAGATTCCTGCCCCCCAAAGCAGAAATCTGCTCTTGCTCTCAGTTTTAGTTTCAATCAGTCCTGTGGTACTGATTTTCCTTCAGTGCAAGTATTTGCATGGCTGTTGAAAAATGAGCTGGATTAAAGCTTGTTAAAGGAAAAAAAAAATTAAAAAACAGTCAAGTGAGAGAGAGTGGCTGGAGCAAATAGAAGGACTGAGTGTTACATATTTAGAGTGGAGTGTATATTTTTTGATGGTATKACATTTTTGTAATGTAACATTGTGCTGCTTAAAAAAGTAACTCAGTAGTGAAAATTAAAGACAATGTATTAAAATACTGATTACTGATTTGCTTTGTGATCTTAAGTCATTTACCTGTCTTATGTATCAGCTTCAAACCCAACATTAAGGGAAACAAGCTCTTACATTTGCTTGGGGTTTTTTTCCCAAGAAAAATAAATTTTGACTTCCATTTCTCCTCTCTTGAAAGCCTGAAGTTYTGTAGGACTCCAGACAGGTTTTGTGCAATCTGTTAAAATGAGTTATTTGAACTTTGAAAGCAAAGTGGCCTCAGCTGACATTTTGGGTATTTGTGAGGATTCAGATACCAAATTCCCACTGACAGTCTGGGTGACCCACCTGTGCACACAGAAAATAAAAAGGGCAATGACAAAAATAACAGGTAGAGGACAGTGGGGTGACTGGTTATATATAGGAAGAGTCACTCCAAAAATAGAGTAGGATTTGGGAGTGAGTGACCTTAGACTATTTCAGGGCTATTGAAAGAGCTCTCTTTTTCTTCTTTTTATTTCTTATCTCTTGGAGATGGAGGGATATTGCTGAATAATGCTGAATTCACTTTCTAGCTGACAGATCAGGAGTACTTGGAACCAATTTAAATGTCCTTCAGTGCATATCATTTATTGCACAGGCCTATTAATTAATTTGGCTTTGCATTGTGTCATTTTGTACAAAGGTTGGGTGTAATATGGCAACAAAAMTGGATTTTCAGAGACTCATTTTTCTGTAGTAGTTCAGAAAATTAAGTGCCTAGTATACAGAACCATTAACTTAAAAGCTATTTTTTCCTCCACRTGTGCAATGAAAAATAATCTCTGAATAATGAGTATCATTCCTGTGTTTGATTCATATCTGAAAGTATTTTGGAAGAATTTTGATTGATCTTGTCTAAAAAGTACCTCTTGTGTGTTTTCTGACTTCTTCCTGCTCAACATATGCTGTAGGGCATTTTGAAATGAAGGTGAGTGAAACTGATACAACCCATAAAAATAGCTGGATGGCATTAAGCCATTTGATTTATCCATGTAACCATGAGCTGGGCTATTTCTTGGGGCTCCACATGGTTCTTTCAGTAAACACTTCCCCAGAGCTTTTCACTGCCCATGAAGATTTTGGTACAGAATTGGAGCTTTTTCTATGCTTTGGGCAGCTTCAGGAGCTTTTGGAGCTTTCATTTTCCATTTTCCTCTGTGCTCCTGGAGGGAGAATCCTCTCCCCTGCCCTTACTGGAAAATGGTGCCCAGGAAGCTGCAAATCACAGCTTAATCACTCAAATTCTGCACTGTCTCATGTCTCCAGTTATTCAGGAAAAAAAAAAAA